TTGCGAAGTAGAGTTCATAAAACGGTCACAATGAAATGAGACAAAACTGAAAAACCATTTAGTAGAGATTCCCATTCCGTTGCCCCCGATAGCCGTTTGGCCAATCCATGTCCATCAGGATGAATCACGTCAATCCAGATAGTATATGATAATAGATGCGCAAAAAAAATAAGAAACTTGAAAAATAAATATAAATTCTAGAATGCCAATGAATATTAAAGATATTCCTGGGTTGAAGTAAATCAACATGATCGGGTATACCGCGATATGAAACAACAGAAGTTGGACAAAGATAGCATCCTTGCGGTATCCTGCCATGCCGCCTCCAGTCTAGCCAAGTGCTGCCTCTACTAACTGGATGGTCATGGGATCCGTCTATCTAGAACTGTTTCAAACAAAGCCCTGTTGCATCCTTGTGTGCCCTATGATCCCTTACGTGCTATGGAACACCATTTTGTAGTCCCAAAATGTCCAAATTCTATCAAGATTTCCCCTGTCTAGCCAAGTGCTGCCTTGCCTTTTTTGGGGGCGATGCCAAATCCCTCGCTTGGGTGTTTCTTGCTCGTCGGGTGCTGCCTTTCGTGCTTGGGTTCTTTTTTGGCCTTTTTTGGGGGCGATGCCAAATCCCTCGCTTGGGTGTTTCTTGCTCGTCGGGTGCTGCCTTTCGTGCTTGGGTTCTTTTGTTGCCTTTTTTGGGGGGCGATGCCAAATCCCTCGCTTGGGTGTTTCTTGCTTGTCGAGTGCTGCCTTTCGTGTTGGGGTTCTTTTTTGGCCTTTTTTGGGGGCGATGCCAAATCCCTCGCTTGGGTGTTTCTTGCTCGTCGGGTGCTGCCTTTCGTGTTTGGGTTCTTTTTTGGCCTTTTTTGGGGGCGATGCCAAATCCCTCGCTTGGGTGTTTCTTGCTCGTCGGGTGCTTACTAAATGGATGGTCATGGGATCAGTCTATCTAGAACTGTTTGAAACAAAGCCCTGTTGCATCCTTGTGAATCCTTGTGTGCCCTATTATCCCTTACGTGCTATGGAACACCATTTTGTAGTCCCAAAATGTCCAAATTCTATCAAGATTTCCCCTGTCTAGCCAAGTGCTGCCTTGCCTTTTTTGGGGGTGATGCCAAATCCCTCGCTTCGGTGTTTCTTGCTCGTCGGATGCTGCCTTTCGTGCTTGGGTTCTTTTGTTGCCTTTTTTGGGGGCGATGCCAAATCCCTCGCTTGGGTGTTTCTTGCTCGTCGGGTGCTGCCTTTCGTGTTTGGGTTCTTTTTTGGCCTTTTCTGGGGGCGATGCCAAATCCCTCGCTTGGGTGTTTCTTGCTGGTCGGGTGCTGCCTTTCGTGCTTGGATTCTTTTGTTGCCTTTTTTGGGGGCGATGCCAAATCCCTCGCTTGGGTGTTTCTTGCTCGTCGGGTGCTGCCTTTCGTGTTTGGGTTCTTTTTTGGCCTTTTTTGGGGGCGGCCAAATCCCTCGCTTGGGTGTTTCTTGCTCGTCGGGTGCTTACTAAATGGATGGTCATGGGATCAGTCTATCTAGAACTGTTGGAAACAAAGCCCTGTTGCATCCGTGTGTGCCCCATTATCCCTTACGTGCTATGGAACACCATTTTGTAGTCCCAAAATGTCCAAAATCTGTCAAGATTTCCCCTGTCTAGCCAAGTGCTGCCTTGCCTTTTTTTGGGGCGATGCCAAATCCCTCGCTTGGGTGTTTCTTGCTCGTCGGGTGCTGCCTTTCGTGTTTGGGTTCTTTTTTGGCCTTTTTTGGGGGCAATGCCAAATCCCTCGCTTGGGTGTTTCTTGCTCGTCGGGTGCTTACTAAATGGATGGTCATGGGATCAGTCATATGTGTTTCATGTTGTTTTCTCTACTAAATGGACCCCGTGTATTTCTCTACTAAATGGCTTTGGGGTTTTGGTCGAGTGATGTTGGTCCCGCAATTTGTGCTCAAATGAGTACCTCTACTAAATGGAACAGGGTGTTTGGTCGAGTCATGGTGGTGTCTTAAGACACTCTGAAAATATATCCAAATTTTGCGCTTCAGCTGAACCAGGGGCCCACATTTAGTAGTGAAATTCGATCATGCATGCGCATCCATTTAGTAGAACTTGAGGCTATGCAAGCCGTTTCTTCACTACAAAATGGTTGCACAGCCCCACCCCTTAATTGACAGGGGGTTGATCATATAATTACTGTTTGCATGCTACAATATGATTGTGTCATGCTCGCTCGTGTCAACAGTGTATGTCATGATATGTCATGTATATGTGTTTTTTTAGTGTGTGTATAATTAAACCTAAAGTATATCACACAACACGCAATGATCCACAGATCTGTCCGGAGTCCGCATTCTTTCACAATAATTTGTCCACCAGCTCAGGCGCTGCCTGCCGGCCACGTGCCCCTGGCTCGACTCCTCCGGCTCACTCCGGAAGATCGAACCTTCCCTGCGCCAGTGAAGGCTGGGAGAGTTGGACATGAGTGTGACATGTCCCGACCGCCTGATCTTTTTGGGTCGAAAAAAAAGTGATCCACGGAGATGTCCAAGGTTAGGACCCGTGCCAGACGACTCCTTACCTGCAGCTGTTTTCGTCTTTCTGACTGGGGTTTCTGGTAGCTGTGCAGAGCAAACCATCATAGTTCTTGAACATTCTTGGAGACGTCAGATATAAATCTTACTGCGATTCTTGTTGGTGGAAAATGCATGTATGTCTGAGCCCAACGTGGTTTGCTACTTCCTGCTGAGACTCGGTTTGTCTTGAGACACATGACCCATAGACCCCCGGCCAATGAAAGTGTCAGACATCTGTCAGGTCCAAGTCCCAACGTGTGCTGGCGCCGAAACTTTGTGGAGGTCATCCACAGCTGGATGGGAGCAAGTAGAAACTGCCACTTTTGAGGAGACCAGAGCAACGGTGACGGTGGACCACTTCTGTGAGTTTGTTGTCACTGGAAAGCCTCATCCACTCAAAGGCCTCGGTTTCTTGCACGCGCAGGGTGAGAATGCGCAGGTGATCATAATGCACACTGGCTGCGAGTCCTGCGAAAGAAGCTTAGAAGTGCTTTGCTCGGACCCAGATAGCCTGCAACCTCTGCGAAGATGTTCTCCCAACCTTCAGCTGGGAACCTTTCGCAATGATGAAGCCCTCGAAATCAAACAACCTGGTCGAACATCAAAAATGAAGATCCGATTTCACCGGATGCCATTGGTGTCACCGGAGCTGGACGCCCAGTCGCGGCAACACTTTGATGTGGAGATCGAGGACAAGAACCACTGCTTTAAGATCCGGCCAGAAGAGGCGACAGCTGCAACAGCTGCAACAGCTTCAAGATCTGTTGGGCCACATGCTGCTAGCTCTGCACAGGCGTTGCTGGAAATGGTGTTGTTTTGTTGGACCATGCTTAGGAAACATGACTGATTGATACTGATTGGGGATATTCAAACTCCAAGTCGAGTCCATTCAGCGAATCCTTCAAGATCCGCTCGAAATGGTGCCTCTTCTGATTGCAACCTTCAGATCCATCCATCTCCAGATCCATCTCGCTGTGCAATACGTGTGCCGTGCCAGGCATCGTCAGCTGCCTCGACTGACATGCGATCGGTGGGGAACTCAGGATCTTGGGGATGGATCAAATCTAATTGTCATATGTTTGGGGGGATGAAAATCAATCAACACCAGCTAGTTTGGTGCGAACTGACCCATAACATCCCATAACCACATTGTCCCTCGAAAACAATTTCCGTATTCAAACAAGGACTGCAATCTTGTTTCGGATCACTCCATTGATTCAGGATTTTGGGTACTTGTGGGCATTGCACTTGTTTGTCTTTACCCACCATTCGAAACCTCAGTGTGTTTATGGCTGACGCTTTGGAAGCTGCTCTGCCAGTTCTTAGGCGGCGGCGTCACAGCAAGGACACTTGTTGTTGAGCGGACGCTTCAACAGTAATGAGATCCTTGCCTCAAAACACAATTTTGATGTGATTCAATGTGTGGTTTTGGTGGATCGAATGTGCTTTGAACAGGTGCGCCAGTGTGACCTATAGTCAAGATGTCCAACGCTTCGTGGGGTTGGTGACTAAGGATTATTGAGTATATGAAGGCAGTGAAGAAGCAGCTGGAAGCTCGAAACGTACCGGTTTTTATGGTTGAAGCAACGGTCGGCCAAAGTTTTGCTGACCTGACACGGATAGGACTGGGCCGTGCCAAAGGCATGGTAACATTTTGCACGTCGGAATATGGGGCATACACTGGTGTAGGATATGAAACTTTCCATGAGCTTGAATTTGCTCATGACCACCGGTTGCCCTTGTTTCCGATTAGGCTCTGCGAGCAGTGGCCACCAGCGCCGCAGAACAACGAACGAGGCATCTACCAGAATCAATTGGTGTTCAAGAATGGCCTCGTGTACATAGATGATCGGCAGATGAATAAGGCCCAACGCGTTGCTGACCAGATTGCTGAATCTGTTGCACGAATGGGCATCTTCGAAACTAAGCTGCAGCTTTAAAGATTGCGGGAGCATGCCGTGGGAAATCAATGCGGAGTGTTGGTGCATGTCCTGGCTGGAATGTTATCAATGTCTTTGGTAGGCAGCTGTACAGTAAGAACACCCGAAAGTACCCAGGTGCCCTCAGGTAAACCAATATGGCAGGCCCGCAAGATGCAAATTCTTGATTCTTGAGGAACAAAGATTTCCATTCATTCTATGGCTTTATATAACTGTTTGATATTGTTTGCTCGTTGGGTGATGGAAAGTGAAGTCATAGACGATCGGTGGAAGTTGTCCTCCACTCAGCCAATGCCTTGTCAAGGAATTTGTCAAGGCTTTGCAGCTTTGGACGGATGCTCCTTTTGTCACTATGTCACTATGTCACTATCAACATTTCAATGGATGACACTGACACTGAACACACCTTACATGTCGACTTTCCCGTGCTTATACCTTTGCACAGCGCAGTTTGCAGCTCCAGTCGCGGACCATTTCGGAAGAAAACTGTTCTGCATCCGACATTGCTTCATGGTGAAGGCATCACAGTGAGAGAACAAGCACATTTTCAGAGTGCCTGCAATAGGTTTTCACCAGTCACACATCATGGGCATGGGATTATAAAATACTACTGTATAAATTGAAACTTAAAACCCATGATAGAAAGCCAATTCGAGCGGTGCCCATCCATTGATCCCAAAGATTTTCATAATTTTGATGCTCATCATGGTACTTTTTCGCAACATATAGCGACGCATAGCTAGCCGATCTCTGGGGATGTCCAGGGCCTCCGGGGTGAACGCAGTGAACGCCTCAGCCGGATCTGCATCAGATTTTTCTCCGGCAGCGAACAGACTTTGTAAATGGAAGTCTACATATTTCTGGAAGTTTCTAGAATTTTTGCAGATTTAATGGTGAGATATGGATCGATATGGTGAAATATAGTTTTCATGTTTTATCTTCGCTGGTGGGTGTAAGGTTTCATAGTAGCTGGTAGCTGCTTGAATGTCTGAAGCAATTTATATTGAATCTAAAACTGAACGTGCTGGCCGCATTCCTTCAGGCTGACACCCGAAAAGGCATCAGATCTCCCTAAAGGACTCGAGTTTGGAGGTAAGGGAGGAAACGGTGTCATCCCCCGAGAAGTTCTGCCATTGGTTTGGGCCTATCCCAGCTTTGAACATACACGAAGCACCTCCGTGGAGACCCATGAAACTCGAGGTGATACAGGTGTAGCCGCTGGCCCTCCGGCTAGCTAACAACCAAGAGGTTGAGGTGATTGAAACCAAGTCTGATACCTATCGACAAAGAATTATTAGTTGAGTCAACTTTTTAACTGTTTCATTGTGTACTATGATTATTAGTTGATACTATAGTTGTCAATATTCATTGATAAGATTCATATAGTTTATTGCCTCATGTTCCATACATTTCCATAGCGTTTCTCGTGTTTTTCTTTCCGTTGTATCACCAGGAACTCTGGCATCGCAGCAGCATGGCCTCCAGCGGCTCGGCTTACCCGGAGGCGGGGCACCGGAGAGGCGATTTGGGAACAAAACGTGTAAGGAAACGATAACATGGGTACTATTGAAATGAGAATAAATATTTGGCTGGATAGATATGATTGTTTTTTTCAATTATCCATGATATACATGGAGTATCCTCATTTTTCAATTATCATCTACAGCATATTTCAGGTATATACGGTTATATACGGCATACCCCCAGTCTGTATAAGTTGTATTAAGAAAAAACACATAGTGAAGCTGATGCGGGGAATCCATTTTTATTGTGGGAAGTTATGATGGAGGCTCATCATGACACTGCTCCAATGGGCTTTTCGTAGATCTCTATATTGGTACTGTTTTTTTGCATCTGGTGTATGCGCTTGTTCCAGATCCATCTTGGTCTTTCATGGACGCGATATGACGTGATATCGGTCTCAGCTGCCAGGCTGTTGGTTGCAGCTGTTGGTTGCAGCTGTTGCAAAGTTCACGGCAATTCACGAGGAGAATTTGTGGGAGACAGGCCCCCGCAGCTGATTCCAGCAACTCATCTCTTACGGATTTATGGTTGTCAGCAGAATGTGTCAGCAACAGTCGTTGTTGGCAAATCTAGCCATGTTTTTTTTTGCATCGAAAATAGTTGGTTTTCATCACCTGGGTATAGAAAATCGATCCCAGCATTTCCCGCCATGAGTTTCAAATCATGTGCCACGTCGCTGCACGAACTTTGGACGCCTTTGCTAGGCCGAAGCTGCTGTGCCAATAGACCCTGAGGTGCCAATGTTTGGGGTGTCGAGATATCACCAGGAACTCTGGCATGGCAGCATGGCCTCCAGCGGTTCGGCTTACCCGGAGGCGGGGCACCGGAGAGGCGATTTGGGAACAAAACGTGTAAGGAAACGATAACATGGGTACTATTGAAATGAGAATAAATATTTGGCTGGATAGATATGATTGTTTTTTCAATTATCCATGATATACATGGAGTATCCTCATTTTTCAATTATCACCTACAGCATATTTCAGGTATATACGGTATACCCCCAGTTTGTATAAGTTGTATTAAGAAAAAACACATAGTGAAGCTGATGCGGGAAATCCATTTTTATTGTGGGAAGTTACGATGGAGGCTCATCATGACACTGCTCTAATGGGCTTTTCATTGATCTCTATATTGGTACTGTTTTTTTGCATCCGGTGTATGCGCTTGTTCCAGACCCATCTTGGTCTTTCATGGACGCGATATGACGTGATATCGGTCTCAGCTGCCAGGCTGCTGGTTGCAGCTGTTGGTTGCAGCTGTTGCAAAGTTCACGGCAATTCACGAGGAGAATCATCCTCGTATGGTGTACCTCAAGAGAATGAGGGGGCAGGACCCCATAAAAAAAATCAAGCAAATCTGAAATAAAATGGGGTCAGACCCCAGCATATTTTTTTGTGGGTGCATTTTATTTTTTGAGGGGCCCAACCCATCAAGTTAACTGACAGAGATAGCATGATATAGCAAAGATGCACAGCTGTGAACGGTCTGATCATTCTGCGAAACCTTCCAGAGATTTGGAATCACTTGGACATCATGGAACATATGAATTCATTCAAATAAATAGATTATGATATTGTAATCTATCTCATCAACAACTCATAAAAATCACAAGACTAAAATACATAAATTTTACATGACTAAAAGTGTTATAAGATGTTATAAGATGCTAAATTGCAAAAAGGAAAGTAACTTTTGAAAAAAACATAGATATGAAACAAAATGACAAAAAAAGATGAAATGATCAAGAGTAAGAACGATAATCCTAATGTATAACAAAAATGCTAGAGATGAACCCAATGAAAAATATAATAAAATGCAGGGGCCTAAGAACAACATGCCAATAAAATGAGAGGGCATAAGGTAAGATTGGAAAATCCAAGCAAAATACAATGGACAGGTACCAAAAGAATATGCCGTCGGCCCCCCCCCCACCTGGCAACTGTTGGACGTCAGGCCCCGGTATTTTTTTATTTCGTAATATCGATTGTTATATTTCCTTAGATCGTTGACATACATTTGTACAGCACAATATGCGTAATCATTACAGTTTCAGAAGCTGTGGGAGACAGGCCCCCGCAGCTGATTCCAGCAACTCATCTCTTGCGGATTTGTGGTTGTAATCTAGCCATGTTTTTATTGGGCACCCAAAATAGTTGGTGTTTATCACCCAGTGGGGATAGACGATTTGGTTTCACCGTTTCATCATTGTGGGCAAACTTGCCATGATCCAATAGATCGGTTCAGCAAGCAGGGTCTGTTTGAAATTTCGAGTTTGGGGCGACGTCCTGTTCAAACAGTTCTGGACGGGTATCTTAGAACTTTGCAAAACAATCTCTGCGAAACAGTTGGCATTCTTGCGTGTCAAGGCAAAAAACTGTCAAGACCTGAGATTGTTGAATTCGCTCAAAGGACTAAAGGTAGCTTTCTGTTGAGTCAACTTTATTTTCCTTAACTTTTCCTGTTGAGGGTTCTATGATATTGGAAATCTTGCGCCTCGAGATCTGCTTTGCCATCCTCATCCCCAGGCTGGAAAAAGAACAAAATCCATGCAGTGCTGGAGGTTTCATGATGGTTCTTTATTTCAGGCTTTCCCGTCCTGGATGGGCTAGCTATCTGGGTATGCCTGTTAACGAGCCGTGCCCCTTCCAGCAGCTCCCACAAGGGGTTGGGCTCGTGTCATGCCCGAGGCGAGCACATCCATCAGGCGGCCGAGGAGGGCAACGTGGGTGCCGTGAGGCACTTCCTCCGCGTCGACCCCGAGAGCCTGGAGAGGAAGGATTACATGGGCCGCAGCCTCGGAACCAAAGCTGGAAGCTACGAAGCAGATCCACGCCTTCCATAAGCTTGGTATGTTTTGGTCAAGCGGTCACTCTCGGTAAGGAGAGTGCTCCAATAGGCCGACTTGGGTCCTGACATGTCCTGAGTGTGTGGCACCACCAAATTGCTGTGGAGGAGGCACTTGAGGGTCCAAGACAGACTTTCATTTTGCTACCCGCTGCTACCCTCGAATCCTATGAACCAGGTTGCGGACTGTAGAGAGTCTTGTCCGGTTATGTTGCTTGTCTTTCTTTTGCCAGATGGTGTTTGATGGTTAAGCCATCCCTCGCACAGAATCGACTTGGTCGGCCACCAACAGAAGTGCCAATCCCATCTAATCCCACACAAATCTTCTGCCACATGCTTTGGAACTCTGTTAAGCGCCTGTCTTCAAGCCTATACTTTTCAAAAATCCCAGGCCTAGTCTCAGTGCTTTTGGCACACAGGCAACTCGACCACAACCATGCAGTTGAAGAACAAAAGCAGAATTTTATCCAATTGCAGTTTTCAGACTTCTAGGGTGTCAAATCAAAACTGGCTACATTTGTGCCATGATCGGCTCTGGTTTTCGGGTGATGTTGGCGTTTTCAGTCACCTAGCATCCACAACAACTTGAAAAGGGTTTCTGAGCTCACCGGGACACAATCCTTCCCAACCCCTAGTCACAGTTTCTTCATCGGCAACAGCTCGCTCCTCTCCTTGTGTTTCTCCTGGCATTCTTTTGTCAGATAGTGTGCGGTGGGTTTCAATCCTTCTGAGTGAAAGCTGATATTGATGGATATGTTCGGACTCTCAAGTCTAGCACAATAGACTCCAAATACCTTTGTCTTCAAACCTATACCAATCAGATAGATAGTTTCAACCCTGCACCAACCTTCCTTTTCACTGTATAGTGGACAGTGAAATGTTTCCCTTGGCAGAAATACTTGTCCAATGACTTTCATGCCTGCCACCAAGCCGCACCTCGCATTGTGTTTCAACCCCGCGCCTTCCCACCTCACAGCTCTTGCGTTTATCCTGGCATTCTTTTGTCAGACATGTCCTGATTTCACTGCACTTGTATAGTCCATATTTATTCATGAATTAATTTTTAGACACGTGACACATGATGTTGAGAAAGTCAGGTGCAACTGCTGGTAAGATTTAAACAACACGATAGAGCAAGAACATATGTTGCGATGATTGCTCCTCTTGTTTTTCGCCATGCCTCACACTAAAAGATACAAAAAGTATCAGCTTGGCGGATCTTCTATTTATGACCTATCCGCAGATTTTGCCCAACCACCTGGAGAAACAGCTTTGTTTTGCGATGATTGCTCTCGTTTTCTCCCCAATGCCTCACACCAAGAGTATCGGCTGGCAGATCTATCTATGACCTATCCACATTTTTTTGCCCAAACACCCGGAGAAACATCCCATTTGCTACGCTTTGTTTCTCGACGGCAGCCGCAGCTGCTGGTCCTTCCGCATCACATCCTCAGCGCCCGAGGCCGGACGGCGCTGCATTGGGCGGCTGAGGAAGGCCATGCCGCCGTGGTGGAGCAGCTGATCTCTGCGGGGGCCACGGTGGATGCGGCCGGTTGGAATGGCCGTGGCCCCGGAAGGGTTTTCGGGTCGTTTTGGGAGTGGCTCTGACGAAGTGATGGAAGGGGTTCGTACATTGGCAGGGGATTTTCTGCTGTGCTTTGGGATGTTGAGTGGTACTTGTTGATTAAGGATCCACATGGATCCACTTTTGTGACGGGATGGGCCTCTTGAAATTCGGGTAAAAGAAATGAGATGAAACGAGTAGAAAGCAGAAGGAATCACGTGGTCTCAAAGTGTTTACTGGATTTGTTTTTTGATGATTTTGAGCTTGATCACACACTTGTCTTTGAGATTTTGACCGCCGTATGGAACAAAATTTGAAAGCAGAGCTGTCAGATATTTTCACTGCCAGCGGTAGAATGTTGTGATTTTATTTTTGTTGCAGGCATGTATCCTGAGTTTGAAAATGGAAAACACATGGGATCCTTGAAAGAACAACTGCGAGGCATTGATTATCCCAGACTTGAAGCGACGAAACATTGAAAACTCAGCATGACAAATGGCGTGAGTGCCATGGTCTTGGGCACCTGGGTCAATCCCATTGGATATTTGTCCAAGGCACGCAAGCATCATATTTTTAAATCAAAATTCATCAAAATTTTCCTGTCATCATGAGATTAGTGTACTCCATTTTGTTCAGTTTGGTAAGCCGTGAATTATTTCTTAACTTCAGAAAACGGTTTATAAGCATTTGGATGGTCCAAAGGTATTCATGAAATAGTTTCTAAACACGCGACACTTGATGTTGCGAAAGTCAGGTGCAACTGCTGGTAAGATTTAAACAACATGATAGAGCAAGAACATATTTGCGATGATTGCTCCTCTTGTTTTTCGCCATGCCTCACACGAAAAGATACAAAAAGTATCAGCTTGGCAGAGGCTTGGCAGATCTTCTATTTATGACCTATATTCAGAATTTTGCCCAACCACCCGGAGAAACATCCCATTTGCTACGCTTTGTTTCTCGACAGCAGCCGCAGCTGCTGGTCCTTCCGCATCACATCCTCAGCGCCCGAGGCCGGACGGCGCTGCATTGGGCGGCTGAGGAAGGCCATGCCGCCGTGGTGGAGCAGCTGATTTCTGCGGGGGCCACGGTGGATGCGGCCGGTTGGAATGGCCGTGGCCCCGGAAGGGTTTTCGGGTCGTTTTGGGAGTGGCTGTGGCGAGGTGACGGAAGGGTCGTACATTGGCAGGGGATTTTCGTTCTTTGCTTTGGGATGTTGAGTGGTATTCGTTCGTGTTGTGTAAGGATCCACTTTTGTGAGTGGATGGGCCTGTTGCAATTCGGGTATAAAAGACTAGACATGGGGGAGATGAGTGGAAGGCACGTGGTCACAAATGTTCATTGGATTTGGAACTTTTGATCACTTTGAGCTGGATCCCACATCTGTCCTTTAAAAAATTGAAACGGTTGATAACGGTTGTAGACATCCTGTCAGAAAAGACGGCAAGTTGGTGGATTGTAATGATTTTCTTGATTTGTTGCAGACGTGTTCAGAGTTTGAAACATGGAAACATAATGAAACATATAGTTCAAATCACAGCCGTGAACCTTGATTTGCCAGACTTGAGCAGAAATTGAAAACTCAGCATGGCAAATGCCCTGAGTGTTATTTTTTAACCTGAGAAAATGATTTATCTGTCCACCTCCGTAGGACTTTCTGAGTTCCCACGCCAAAACGCCGCCGTCGCCTCTTAGGCCGAACGCCTTATGGCGTGGCCAAGGCGAGGGGCCACCGCCACGTGATGGGCCTCCTGCGACCAGCCTCTTGGCAGTTCTGGAGCCATGACGAAGATCAACCGTGATGGATCACGTATCTCACATTACTAGTCTGACCCATGATATTATCAAACATTCTGGATAATATGGGAGTTGAACGATAAACAGACATGAGAAAACATTAGCCATGAAAGTATTTGGAAGTTTGTATCATTTATTAGTTGACCACCAAACATGAGGACTAAACCATCAAACATGGGGATCTACGTTACTATATAGAACTAAATTTCACGGCCACGTATATCCAATTACCATTCTTGTTGTTGTTGGTTGTTATATGTGCAATGGTCAAAACATGGAATGTTTTCTCATGAAGGGGAATGGTCGTCCCATCATTGATAGGGATTCCCATTGCTCTCACCATACTTCGTCACGGAGGATTGGTGCTCCAAACATTTTTCCAAACTGTCCCTTTAGTTGATTCTGGCACATCAGATTTTCTTGCCTGAACTATACCTGGTGCATCCCCGTATTCGTTGCCATAAGCACCACAGTCGTGTCGGCACCATGAAAAAACACCGAGGTCTTTGTGGCTCTGCTGAGTGGCCGAAGCTGCCGTTGCACCTGGGCCTTGTGGGTAGATGATCCGAGGAATACCTGCTGACCGTCAGTGGAAAAAAACAACCCTCGAATAGTAAACCAACATAAACCAACAATAGTTTTCAATGGGTTTTCAAAGCACTGGGACCGTGGTGGCCGTCATAGATGATACACCATGGTGAAGTGCCTGCTGATTCGACCTGTTGACCGTCAACATAGTATAGCAGTATAGCGTAGTATAGTAAGCAGCAAAATGTTGAAACAAAATGAATAATTGGTTTTCAAGGCACTTGGATTGCTCGGATATGCCCGGACAAGGGATTCGCGTTTTCATCCCACCCCATGACATGTTTCGTGTTGAGGCAACACGTTGAGTCACGTTGACGGAGTCCACACTGTTGTGTGCATCGTTGTTCTGCATCCCAAAACGTTGTGACCATGGACATGGGGACGCGGGGGCCGGCAAATTGTAACTTGCATGTTCTTGGCCCCCCACCCATCCACATTTGGGTTGTTTGGAAACACCTCCATCAACTTTGTTTGAAATGTTACCTTTTGCGCCTGTTTTCACTTTCTGTGGCACCGGCTCATCCAAGAAAATTGCATCTTCAAAGAAAATCATTACATTTTAAGAAGGTTTTACCTGCAAAATGTAATCTGACATTGTGGACGCCCCTCCAAAATTCAAGGGGACCGGAAGTTACAGATTGGAAGGTACCAATTTTCCAGGTTTCGGAAAAATGCAATTTCATTTAGCAAGCGCACACTCATCCAAAATACAAGTTACAAGACGCAATCAGTTGATTCGACGTGGCAGTAGCAAAACGATGAAGAACGACACCATATTTTTTAAATGAATTGGTCTGCCAAGATGCGCGACTTGCATCCTCATCCCACCCCATGACATGTTTTGTGTTGAGGCACCACATTGACGGAGTCAGCAGTCCACTCACTTGTGCATCCGGCATCCGTGTTGTGCATCCGTGAAGAGTGGATCAAACCCAACCGAACTGAGGCGATTCATCACAGGAGCGAACTGTGTTGGAGTTGAAAGAAGAAGCCGAGCGCCTTGGCACAGAGATGAACTCCGGGTTGACTGCCACAGGGCAACAGCTCAGTTGACGTCGGCAACAGATGGCAACAGCAGTTCGTTTCTGACAACGACAGTTGTGCAGGTTGGGTGCAGGTTGCAGGTTTTAGGGATCATATTTTGAGCGGAGCGTTTTGAATTGAGTATTTGTCAGACACTCTTCAAATCACAATCTTGAAACAAAACTTAGACCTCCAAATCATGGAACACCTCATGCAAAGTAGCAAGCGCCGCTACAGTTGGTACACGCTTGCTACTTGTCTTTTCCACAAACAATGAGTCATCTCATCCAGATTCCGAAATGGATCAGTGGACCCTTCATGACCGTGATGCCCCAATAAGTCAAGATCTGAATTTGTGTCTCTTTTTTATCTTTTCACGGTCCATTTCCATATCGTATGATGCCCCAGAACTAAATTGGTGATTAGGTTCCAGGCACCTGTGACGTGCATCGCTTCAATGATGCTGGTTGCAAGTCTCTGTCACAGAAGGGGCATTTCGGGGTTCATCTGACTGCAGCCTGTTGATCCCTGCTGCACACCCTGTCCAGTGGATCCGAGGAAAAAGCTCGGCGTCAAGATTAAACACATCATTGGACAAAACCACGAGCCATTGCTACTTGGCTGCACAGAACTTTTTGACCCTTCCGCCCAGCTGATGGAAATTGTAGAATCCTGTCTTACGTGGGAAACAATCTTGTTGGGCATTGGTGGTAGGCCTCTTCATATCATTGGCGTGTTTTTACATGTTTTTACATTGCCGGTGTGTATAGTTGATTGGCCTGATATTTTAAGGAAAACTCTTGCAAGTTTGAAGGAACAAATCACCTGCACGAAGACGTTTTTTGTTGCCTACTCTGCTGCTGGGTGTAAAGCTGGGTTGATATTCCATGCCACCAGTAACTTCTGTGACATCAGTTGCTGAATTGGAGAAGTTCATGGCGGGTGCCCAGGGATGAAAGCATGGAGCTTGCTGCAGCGCACATTGTGCCGGGCAATACATTGACCGCCGTGATTTCAGTGCCTTGGCGCTGAAACAGCAGCTGCAACATGACTTGCGACCGTGATGAGAGGTAATCGGCACGAGTGCTTGAGACAGTAGCAGCAGTAGCAAGCCAAAAAAGAGTACGGCAGAACGCCTTTTGCCAGGCAATGTGGATGAGTGTTCACATCCACCATGAATCCAAGTTGACCACAATATCATATGTCCACATGGCTGTTGTACACTGTGCGAGGTGTTATGCACTCCCCATTTCATGTCTTCTTCTCTCTGCCTCATTTGGACTTGCGATTTGGTGTTTTCTTAGGAAGATGCTCTCGAAGAGGGACATCCTGAAGCACAGGCGGGGGCAACACTTCAGGTGACATTTGTGACACACCCGGGCATTGGGATGAAAGTTGTCTTATTGCTGTTCCGCTGAACAAATGGGTATTTAGTCATAATATGCCATAATCATAAGTTAAGGGTGACCTGCAAAGCGGACAGAGTCTGCAGTTGAAAGCAGCATTCGAAGTCCTGGCTTTTTCTATACCCAGGCGCCTTCCCAACCTGCAGACCCCTCCATGCCTGAGGACGGGATAAAGTCATTGGCTGAAGCGGCTGAAGCTTCATATTCATGCGTATTCATTCGTACAAGTTTCATCCTTTTTCTCATCTTGAGTCGGGAGAGTCTGTGCATTCTCAATGCTTCCAATCGATGTTTCGTATTTTTTCATCCAAAGTTCAAATCTCAAGGATTCCTGGCAAGGCGGTTCTTTGTTTGCAGCAAACAAACCTTGGCAACGGATCTTTAATTGTTGCAGAGCGACTCGTTGAGTGGGAAACACAGTGGGACCGGATAGGATGGCGTCGAAATCAAGGATTTCCCGCACGGCATTCGCCTGATGGCGCAGCATTCCATTTTCGAGGGCTTCGATCCACAAATCGAGGTTTTCGAGAACTGGAGCGACTTGAAGGAAGTCTCAGCTCTGGAAGAGGTATCTTGTCTAGCAAACTGCCATAACTATTCATAACTCTTCTTCCTTTTGCATCAAGTGAGCCTTGAGACCGTGGTGGGAACTGGAGAAACGATATGCAGTTTCCATATCGTACACGCGTTTTGCCTGTGCCGTACGTTTATGCCATGCGAATTACTCTGCCTGCTGCATGGAGTCTTTCTTCATATTTCTACCCAGTATCCAGAAAGAATTCCCTAGGCAGGTGGTGGAAAGCACGTTGAGAGGTGTGTGGGAAGTGTTGCAAGGCAAGATCATGCAAGATCGATCACATACTGTTTGCATCCTACAATATGATCGTGTCATATCGTGTCATGCTCGCTCGTGTCAACAGTGTATGTCAATGTATGTCACGTATCTTTTTTTTTAAAGTGCGTGTATAATTAAACCTAAAGATACCTAATTAGTATATATCACACAAGACGCAATGATCCACACATCTGTCCGGAGTCCGCATTCTTTCACAATAATTTGTCCACCAGCTCAGGCGCTGCCTGCCGGCCACATGCCGCTGGCTCGACTCCTCCGGCTCACTCCGGAAGATCGAACCTTCCCTGCGCCAGTGAAGGCTGGGAGAGTTGGACATGAGTGTGACATGTTGTCCCGACCGCCTGATCTTTTTGGGTCGAAAAAAAGAAGTGATCCACGGAGATGTCCAAGGTTAGAACCCGTGCCAGATATCAAAATACCATGATTACGACTCCTTACCTGCAGCTGTTTTCGTCTTTCTGACTCGGGTTTCTGGTGGCTGCGCAGAGCAAACCATCATCGTTCTTGAACATTCTTTGGAGACGTCAGATATAAATCTTACTGCGATTCTTGTAGGTGGAAAATGCATGTATGCCTGGGCCCAACGTGGTTTGCTACTTCCTGCTGAGACTCGGTTTGTCTTGGGACACATGACCCATAGACCCCCGGCCAATGAAAATGTCAGACATCTGTCAGGTCCAAGTCCCAACGTGTGCTGGCGCCGAAACTTTGTGGAGGTCATCCACAACTGGATGGGAGCAAGTAGAAACTGCCACTTTTGAGGAGACCAGAGCAACGGTGACGGTGGACCACTTCTGTGAGTTTGTTGTCACTGGAAAGCCTCATCCACTCAAAGGCCTCGGTTTCTTGCACGCGCAGGGTGAGAATGCGCAGGTGATCATAATGCACACTGGCTGCGAGTCCTGCGAAAGAAGCTTAGAAGTGCTTTGCTCGGACCCAGATAGCCTGCAACCTCTGCGAAGATGTTCTCCCAA